AGGTTAGGTTAGTATATGACAAAGCTGCCAGAATCGAATTTGTTTACATTTACTAGTTAGTTCGACCACCTCCTGTGGGTTTAAGTTAGGTTAGTATATACAATTAAATATTCTGCTTAAAGTTTTAATTAATATATTTTATAACACAAAAAGCACTTAAAGCTTACTTAACTTAAAGCTTATACAAAAACAATTATATTTTGCGATTGTACATTTAATAGAATAAAAAAATCTTATCAACATAATGTAGGGCGCTTCAACTATAAAAACGAAATATTTAATACATTATACTGGTAGTACTTATACCATTTAATAATAATAATAATAATAATAATAATAACAATAATAACGCACACACTCAACATAGCCCCGCACTAGGGAAACCCTGTGTCGCGGGTGCCATGGAAACACACTTAGACAACCACAAATTACACCCAAACTCACGAGAGAAATAAATGTAGGTCATACAAATATTTCTCCCGGCCCGGGAGACCGGGCCTGGGCATGATAACCGTTCGGCCACAGAGGCAGTTTTTTCAGTAAATTAATTATTTGGTCATCAAATCACTTAATAATTATATCTGTTTGTTATACTGAAAGTTCATTATACACATTGAAATTATGCCTTTTGTTGTTATACCTTTTGTTGATTATATACAGTGAGTGATTATATCCTTAGAAATTACATCAAATGCTATTAAGTGAAAATAGATTATTTGTTGTTATATGTTCCATTACACACCCACACAAGACACCTGTTTGTGCGACGCCTAATTATCCACAAACATGCTTAACTTAATATTATACAGGCACGAGCTATACCTACAGCCCTCTCAGGGATACAAAGCATCGACCACTAAATTATGAAGCATCCATTCTCCCACTAGACTATCACCGCTGTTTACTATTTAACTCTCTCCTGTCTTACTCATTCATTATCCTTAAGCTCACTCGTTAATACCTACACCTAATCAAAATTTTACCCTAAACAATACTCTGGTTAAAATTTCACTGTAAGCAGGCTTTAACGTCATTAGAAAGAGAAATTAATCTTCGGATCATGTTTAACAGGTTAAAATGTAAATCAACGTTTGGTTTGTTTGAAGGTTAGTTTTGGCTAATTGAAATAATTGTGCATGTTACCTTGTTTGTTATATCTATGAAGCTTATAATACAAACAGCAGACTAAGGGTGAAACACACATACATACATAAACATTTTAGTAGCACAAGAGCTCCTTGTGAAAGAGGTCGTCTAGGGAAGTACTGCCACATTACCTATTTCTGCCGCCAAGCAGTAATGTCAGCATTACTGTGTTCCGGTTTTGAAGGGTAAGGGTGCTGGTGAAGTTACAGGCCCATGAGACTTGTCAACTTATGTCTCAGAGTGACGGGAGCAGTGGCAGAGCCCCTTAAATTTTTGCGGTTTAAAGCTCTGAGTGGCAATGTACCTAACTGTTATGCACAGACGTCTAGCTCACACATGTTCACGTTGTTCAACACATAATATTGCTAATTAACGTTACGGACACCCACTTGAACATAGATCCGAAAACCATCGGTATATTGTGGACAAAAAGTTAGTGATGGTATTTATGAAAACAAAAAACGCCGGCTGTAATGTTGCATCAACAATGATCCACACAACAAACCAATAGAATGGTACTAAGAAGTACAATGAATCTGAAATAGTGTTTAGATTTTAGATTTCAAAAATCAAAACAATTTTTCAAAGTTGGGAATCCATTAGAATGTAGGTAAATTCAAAGAAGCAAAGATGCGAGCCAAAAGTAGTAGTATGTTCTACTCATATTATCTTAATATTAAATTGGAGCTTGGAGCTTTTCTTACGAGATTACAATATGCGGGGGGCTGGCAGTTAACGAGTTTGTTTATTAATTAATCTTTTTGGTGTATAAGGATCTTGAGAGACTGTCATTAAATTAAATAGTCCTTTTACTCGCTTGTCATACCTATCTATCAGCATGTTGTGGTCGCCACAAGCTTTTCTGTAATCCATGTTTAGCACTGTATTACAGGATAATATATTTTACTATAACATTGTATTGCCAGAATGTCTCATATTATTATGTCATGCTTTTCATGCCAAAGTTGTTTTCTCGTTGAAACAGTGAATATAAAATACACAAACCGGCATGACTGACACAGGACTAAATCGATTCTTAATAACTATATCAATGGTTGTGTAATTGTATCTATCTTTTGTTGAAGTAAGTCATTAGTGATGGGAACGCTTCATTGCAATGGCGTTTTTATATTATTATTTCTATTTATCAATCAATGAAGTAAAAATTAAATATGCAAATTACCTACGCAACTCAAGCGGGTGCTACTGACTCGTTACTTGATCCGTAAGTTTTATGACATTGTAATTCTTTGGATAGTAATTTATTTAGAAAAATAAAGCTGAAAAGCTCAAACGAATGTTAGATACTAACCTATTCCGTTGTTGCTACTTATCTACTTCTTTCTTGTAAAGCTAAAGGGGAACCTTAAGTATCTTTTAATATTTCAACCATACTACATTTTGTTTCTAACAACCCACATAAAAGCGCAAAAACATTGCTTTATTAAGATTGTTTATATGACCGTGATGACTGTCAGTGACGGTGGAATCAAAATACAACTCAAACTCGAATAATCTTACTTTCATTGAGCAAATTGCACTCGAAATTGTCACATTGATTAAACTCTACTACTCACGCATTCCTACGGCAGATTCCCCTGAGAAGAATGAGTAAGTAACTCCAGAAGATGCTCTTTCTAAATAAACATTTGTCCTATACATTTATCAAGTACAATACTTATTTCAAATATCTATATCACAACCTGCAAGAGCTAAGTGGGACCTTGGATGTTTGTCATCTAAGTACGCAGAAGCTGTGTAATAATAACCTATAGTGCAAAATTTTTTTTTCACTGTAGTTTTAGACATCGTAATTTGCAAATTTTGAATATCAACCGGAATCTCGTTATAGAAGCTTATTATACATTAAACTATAAATGAATTTGTGACTTTGTGAACAGCTGTAAAGAACAGCCAGTTTATTTGTGTTCCTCGTATTGTTATGTTTATCAATATTTTTCATAAAAATATCACAATATTTCTGACTATACTTTAAATTTTCATAAGAGTGATGTGTGTGACGCCAATGTAAGAAAGTTTAATTCTATTAAAGTTCTCAAACTTCGCAGGACAAATTCTGATGGCGGCATTAACCCGAAGCAAAATGCCATTATGTAATTAAACTGAATTAATGCTAATTCGTTAATAGTTGTCTAATTAATTCTCTATGACGAACTCCACGTGCATTAGGTATACATATTGATTATGTCTGTGGTATACCAAGATAAGACCACTTACTTAAAAAGATAAATAAACTCTCAAAGATTATTAGGCATTGAAAATTGCTCGTCGCACATCACTACGAACCCAACCCTCCAACTCGGTAGAGGGTTTTTTGGGCCCGAGTGATTTATTAAAGAAAGCTTTTAAACCCTTGCGGTGGCCATTGTGCGGATTTGTCTTTTCCATTGTGAGATGGGTCATTATGGGCGATTTGCTCTATTAATTTAATGTGGCTGTTACTATTATTTTTTGTTTCAATACAATATTTTTATTTAAGCTGATTTATTAAGACGTTGGAAATTGAGGTTTTTTTGTCCATGCGAACGCTGTACCTATATAATAACAATCCATGTAAATTGGGACGAACGGGAAGGCAGAGTACATTAAAACTTAATTTATATTTTATAACAACTGTATTACTTAAGATATAAATTTCAATGTTCTGAGACCGATCTTGGAGCATCGCAGCTCATTTGTCTCCGCGGTATTGAGGAGTACGCTAGAGTAGAGTGGAGTAGAGTAGAATCCACCGCTATTCGCCGGAGTCCACCCGTGTGCCCCAGAATCTGCCTGAATGCGCCGGGGACTTTTCGACGGAGTCGTAAGTAAAAGGGATTCAAATTCCAACAATCGATAGCATATCGACGGATGCCGCGGCATTCCAGCGTTCTCTAAGCCGGGAGACACATGCGGTATCATAAAGGATAACCCTCATCAGTGTGCGCTGGCGGGAAAATGATTATCTACTTCGTCAGCCGATTGTCGCTAACCTTTAACTGGTTTATGTTTAATCGTTACAAGATGTTCTTGGATTCTTCCGACTGAGAACAAAAGTGACGACGATGTATCTATATAATTTATTTCTCCTACTTTTAGAAGTATTGTGGAAAAGTAAAAAAGGGTAAGCGCTACTAGCGCCAACGTTGACCATTCAAGACAGACAACACCTTTTCCTTAGAGTAATCAACCGACATTCCGACATTTTACGACAAAAGTATAGGATTTATCGGCTATCATCATCATTCAAAGCGATTTGTAGATTAGCTAGCATGTTTGCCAACGAAATGCACTTTAAATTGAAATTTTGAATATTAAATATTTGAAGTCTTCTCACGCCATCTAGCTAGACAAAAATAAACTAAAACAAAAGTAGATATGGAGTGTTTTTCTCGTATCATATTTTACGAATACAATTTATTAGACAGAGGTAAATATAGTTTCTTAAAACCATCTATCAAATCTCTGAATAAAAACATTTACTGAAAATGTTTCTTATGGAGCTTTGATAGATGATGATCTTTGCATTTTTATAGTTCTCTTTAAACCTTGATTTTTATATTCAGATAATTAGTTATCTAAAAACGTATATGAAGTCTGTTGTAACCATATTGCAAAATAAACGCAATGTACGCGTCAAGGAGTTAATCGAATTTAATGCGCCATCTACCTACTTATAATGGAACTTATATTGTCGATAAAACAGTTGGCGCACAGTCATCTTTTTCCGAGTATTAAAATTCGTTTCGCCAAAATCCTTTCGCAAAAATCTAAAAGCAACCCGATTAATTTATGAAACTCCGAATTTAAAAAAATAATTGATAAACAACAGAGATTTTTACTAAAAATACTTTCAAAATTTATACTTACCGCCATCGCAAAGCGGCGTTTCGGCCATTTTGCGAACCCCTCGGCAGGAAGTGAGTGTTGAAGTTGCTACGCAGGCGCAAATTGACCTTTCGGTTGAAGAACCCGTCGGTCACATGTGAGTGTCGATAAATATCTCAATTTTATTGTGAATCCCTTGTAAAATAGTAATTATAATAATTTTCGTAAGTATTTTATGTGGTGAAAAAGTTTCTGTGAAAGTGCGGCGATCCTGCGGTGTGGACATTGTGTAAATTATGAAAATAAAATATACCGCGGCGCCGGCACGTTTGTCAAGCTGCTATTTTTCTTTCGTTATCTCTTCAATTTGGACTAAAGATCAAGTTCAAATTTTTCTGTTGCATTTGTTTTAGTGGTTTTATTCGGTGTGTAGGTGAGAAAGTATGTGTAGTTGAATATTTTTGAAGTGCATTGGTCGAATCGAAGACATGCCCAAGATGTCTCTTCGGAAGCCACATGTTCGGGACCCACACGGCTGAGTCCGTGTCGGCACCGTCTGGTCTTGTCAGGCCTGGATTTATTTCATGCTTTGTTGATTTTTTCTTGTCATCATATTTGTAAAAGTGTAACAGTTTATCTTTACGCGTGTGTGAAAATTATCGAAAAGGTTTTCCATATGTAGGGTTAAGGGTTAGGTCGTGTCAAAATCGTCGTGAATCTTGGAAAAAGTGTCAATATTCTTAACATTGGTGCTCTTTTCGGCTTTGTAGGTTATGACAGACAATGTTTTGTATGACTTAACATAAATTGATAATGATTCATGTTTTGTGTGGATCATTTAAAAAGGCATGACATCACATAATTAGCTGTCTTTAGCCTACCTGAGTTAAGCATTAATGCAATATTGATTGTCAAACTTTAGGGTAGTTCCAACATTATATTAGAGCATACCTTAGGCAACTGAATGAAGGTGATGGTCTTGATTTGTAGTCACATTTTTGTGTTACACTTCTGTTGCTATACATACAATTTTATCAATAATGCCTTTTCACTGACACATATATCTTACTAAGTATGTTTGGTATATCATACATACTTTTATTGTAAATGTGCCATGTTTCTTGAAGTACCATGGCCTAAAGCAGATTGGAGAGTTCACACTTTGTCAAAAGCCTTGTGAAGCTTTACGAACATGTCAGTTCATCTTAATCCTTGCTACTTAACCTCAAATTTATACACTCAAGATAAATATAGAGTATTATAATTACAACAATAAAATATCCATTCGTCTAACTGCCTCCGTGGCCGAACGGTTACCATACCGGACTGCCACGCAGAGGTCCCCGGGTTCGATTCCCGGACCGGGAGAAATATTTGTATGGCCTACAGTTATTTCTCTCGTGAGTTTGGGTGTAATTTGTGGTTGTCTATGTGTGTGTCCATGGCACCCGCGACACAGGGTTTCCCTAGTGTGGGGCTATGTTGAGTGTGTGCGTTGTTATTGTTATTATTATTATTGTATTTTTAATATTGCGAATATCTTGCATATTACTGTGCTATGAACTAAAATTTCCCTGAAACTGTAATAAACATTGGTTCTTTGGACTTTGGCTTCAAGGTAGTGGACACTAGCTACTGATTGCATATTAACTAGATTGCAGGGGCATTAAAACTGAAAAAAAAAATGTGAAAAACATAATTATTGTAATATCTACAAAGCTAATTATATAATAAAAAAGAAAAAACTTTCCAATAGCCAAGAGTTGATTACTGATCTTTCTGATTCTGTCCTTTGTTATATAAGGAACTTGTATTTAATTTTCAATTGTTTCTTTGTAAATATTATAGATGAAAAAGATATCTTTTCTTGATTTCACTGTAGCCAGAATATATGCAACATTTTCATGCAGAATAACTTTTTAGTAACATACACATTTTTAAGTGCTAGGCAGCTTTAAACTGGATTCTCTGTAATATGAGTACCAGTGTAATGAAATTCGTGGTGGCCTAATGGTTTGACCTACCTTTCGAGCAGAGGCCATCGGTTCAAATCCAGACCCGCTCCACAAGAGTTTTTCGGAAGTTATGTGCGAAGTTTAATTTGAAATTTACCATGAGCAAGAAAACAAACCACCGTGATGAAACCTGCATGGTGAAGAAATTTCACAACCCTCAGAAAATGTGTGCTATCCCCAACCCCCATTGGGCCAGCATAGTGGACTATGACCAAAACTCTCACCTGATAGGAGACCCGTACCCGGCAATGGGATGTATAAATGGGTTGATGATGACGTAATTAAAGTAACTAGTTCACCCACATGAGAACCAATTTAGAACAGTTTCTATATTGGTTGTTTCTACTAAAATGTAATGTGTTTGGAGTTACAACTTTAGTGTTAAGTAAGAGAACCCTTAAAGAATTTCTTTCTATAAGGACTACTTTGGTTTTTCCTGTACTTTGAACTGCCAAAAGAATAATCTGACATTTTGCCACTTCTGTTTAGTTATAACGGTCATTAAAAAAAAACTACAGAAAAGGTATACATTTTTTAGTTGCTTTGTGACTAATGTAGTGATTACAGACACCACAAATTTTCCTTTTTTGGTTCTAACACTAAAAAGCAAATTTTGTTTAAAAAAAGAAACGTTGAACAAATTCAACTTCCTCTTTTTTGTCACATAATATCTTAAACAATGTTGTCTCAATTATTATTCTTTGCATTTATTTGATATTCGTTATTTCCAATAAGGAGATGTTGCATACATTGACATGTTAAATGTGTCTGCTGGAGGCAGGTTGTTTTCAGATTGTATGCAAGAAAGAATAAGTAGCAAGCCTTAAAATAAATGAATTTTCCTTCCTATTATGAATTATAATTTAGCAAATGCTTATTGCTGTTTTTAAGGTATGAGTTTTGCATATTTTAACTTTTTTTCCTATATATAAAAGAGAAGGGCTTCAATCAAAATCGGTCTATCTTCATATCGGTCTATATTCAATCAATCATAGAAAAAAGTCAAACATTACACTGTTTCAGATAGTCTAGGTTTAAGTAAAATTGAAACTCGTCTCTTAATATATTGTAGGTAAAAACTATCCTTGCACTATCCTCAACTTTTTCAGAGTTGTACTGAAAGGAATAAAATGTGACTGTCAGAGTTTCTTCAATCTGAGCACTATGGCAGGTTCATTGACATCACAAGTCAATAAACTGTGGTAATTTTTTTTGGCACGTGCCTGTGAATCATTTCTCAGTTAATGCCAAGGTTTTATCAAGTGAAGGTTTCTGATGATGCTTGTGAGTGTGTATGTTATTTCATTGTGTGCATAATTTCAGTATGTTAACTTGTATGAATTAGAGAATAAGTCTGTTTTTCAACTTGAAATTTGTATTCATGTTTTGCACCTGTGGCATTCGGAATTGCCAAAGTGCTGAAATATTAATAATCGCGATTTTGTTGTGTTGGAATAGGTTCATTTTTTTTATACGAGCCCATAGAGTCGCGAGTGTAGTTTACAGTACTGCTCTCGTGCTGAGGGTACTCGAAAACAATATTCCAGGCCCGACTATGCGTCTCGTCGCACTCCTGTGCTTCGGGATCACCGTTCAGGGTTACATTTTTATCAGAACTCTAATTTTACTACGTCAATTGTGTTTCTTTAGCAATCGTGCTGCAAATTTTGGCTTTGATAATTTTTGTCTCGTTTAATACTATTGCAGATGGTTCTCAGCTGTGATGAAAAAAACTCAATCTTTTAAGGCCTTAAAAACTTGGATTCATTTTCAACGCCTCACGACTAGTTTAGTCTTTCAACTCTCATATGACTAAAACTGAAAACTAATTCGAGTCGACGTCATTTAACCCTAGGGATCTTAAAAGACTTAGGTAAAGGACTAAAACTACTGGCGCCTTATAGCCTCGGGATTCGCGAGTCATAAGCCGTATGGCGTGATTATATTTCTACACACAAGATATTTATTTTACGATTAAACACGTAATAATAAAAAAATTGTGTGTTACAAAGGCGTAACCCTTTGTCGTTTTTTATTTTTTATTATACCTATAATGATGAACGAAACATACTATTTATGAACGTATCAGATGGAGGTCCATAGTGTCTGCCTACCCCAGAATGGGGGACAGACGAGATTTTTATGTATATTTGTTCTATGTATTACAGTTAAATTGTATCTCACTACTGTGACGAGTAGAGAGTTTATGAAGTTTAAACATGAATACCAGAACTTAATATTTAAGTAAAGTGGTTACAGACAGATATTACACAAAATTAAAAAAGGCACGTTAAAACTGGATTTCCATAGACTTTTTAATATTGATTGTATTTCATTATTCTAATTTTCTCGCAGAAAAAGTATTGTATGCAATCATTACATAATTAGGTCTTAAAAAGTCGTACCCATTACTAAAACCACTCTTTGAAACCTAATTTTTATTATAAGTAAATAAACGTGTTTATTTATTACATACTACGTCATTTTTATTTATAAACTTCGTATTTAATAAGACATAAAATAAGTATAAATCCGTTGCAAACACTTAAGTCTTCTAGTATAATGACTGAGTCTCCAGTCTTAATTTTAGAGTCTAGTCCTGTAAAATAGAGTAGAATCCATATACAACGCCTTAAAATACTGAGTCTCTTTCATCACTAGTTCTCGGTCATTTCGACATTAGGTAGAAAGAAATTGTTACTTCAATCTAATTTGGTTTCGCCCATGTATCTTACACTCAAGTTTACAATTTTTCTAAGCTACTTATGAAAGCGTTTGTCTGTGCGCACAGCACTAGAAAGAAAAAAGATGTTTTGATGAAGTCCAAAGACAATAGTTATTATTTTTAACCGACTTCAAAAAGGGAGGTTCTCAATAAGACTTTTTTTGTTTTTGTGGGGGGTAGCAAACTAGGGCATGAATGTCTTTTGAGGTCGGTTTTTAGTACTCTGTACTGTGCATTGTTATTTATGGAATTGTTACTCTCCATATGGCCAATGTAGTTGGCACAATTTATATTGCTGCGGAACGGACATTTTGTAATAAAATTGTACAAATCATAATCAACTTTACGTCAATTGCGTAACGTACAAACTAATTACGAGCTAAAAAACAGATCGCGCGCCTTTACAATTCTCGTGCAGTCTCTGGAATTCCCGTAGGTACCACCATATCCATACCTAGTTTGTGCGTTACACAATTAAGAGTCTGTACAACTTCAAATGGCTTTGGTGGATTCCGCATAACAGTCAAAAGTGTTGAATCAATCACGTTGGAAAGAATATATATAGGAAAATTGATAATATACACTGATTACTACATGGCGGGAAAAAAAAATTTTTCACGTTAGAAAAAAAAACTTACCTAGAAATTTTACAAGAAAACCGCTATATTCAATAGGTACTTTACGTATACCAATGATTTTTTTAAATAACAACTGAACTAAATAGAACACGTATACTATACAATATACATTTTTCCAGTGGCTTTTTAGTAGTATCGACTCTTAACGTAGTAAAAAAAATTCGCTTTCGTTCTGCACTGCAGCGATGTAAATTGAGCTCTAATCATCTAAACTTAGGTAGCCTATTAAAATTTATAACTAATTCAGCAATATTTATGTGTAACAGATCACTCCTGACCGTAGTTTACCTGCACAAACATGGGTGACATTGAAGACACACACTTCGAGACTGGGGACTCCGGTGCCTCTGCCACCTTCCCCATGCAATGCTCGGCCCTCCGCAAGAACGGTTTCGTCATGCTTAAGGGTCGCCCTTGCAAGATTGTCGAGATGTCCACCTCGAAAACCGGAAAGCACGGTCATGCTAAAGTCCACTTGGTCGGCATTGACATTTTTAACGGTAAAAAGTGAGTATGCCTTATTGTTTTTACTTTCAGTCGAACCATAACCAAAGTGCTAATTTGCTTACATGGATCCGTCATCACCTCATACGTTTTTGAACGAATGATATTACAGGCACATGGGACTTTTCCACTTATGTCTCAGGGTGACGGGCGCAGTGGTAGTGCTCCTCAGATCCTTGCGATTTAAAGTTCTGAGTGTCACTGCAACTGTTATGGACAGGCGTGTAGCTTACCATCAGGGGCACGACTCGTTCGTCCCGTCACTTGATATTGTCAAAAAAAAGTATTTCATGTGTTATGTGTAAGTCTTTATCGCGCATTAAACATTACAATAACAACTGTGCACAGTAATGTTAAATATATCCGCATATGCTAACAGCCGTGACAGCCTTGTTGTTAGGCAGCAATTTTATTAAGGAGATAAATAAGGTGTGCAGCCGAAAATAATTTATTACTTTTGGCTGCACACCTTATGTACACTACAACTATTAATATAAAGATCGAACACTTAAAAAAAACTCCTCCGATCTGGCTGGATTCGAACCAGTGTCTACAACTTACGAGGCCGAGGTACAAGGCGTTTTTGTTAGTGTGTTTATTAGTAATTATAACAAACTAGTAGAGTATATTTCATAAAAAAATAATTGAATATCGTGGTAGTAAATCTTTGTGATATTCAGACTTCATGTTACAAATACACTACACTATGCTGCAAAGAAAACTATAAGGTGTTTTCTTTCTACTGTGTTTGTCTTTCTCTGCTTAACGTCGTCGAGTTAAATGAATAGCATCCGAAAAATTTTTCCTTTTTAAAAATCTAAAAAATCTCAAGTAAACATCTTTAAATGTTTAAATTTTTATTGAATTGATATTCAATTATTTTTTATGTGAAATTGCTCCACTAGTTTGTAATAATTATTAATACAAAGATCGGACACGACTCTGAGAGTCTTATTCTTGAACTCTACTCAATGCTCAAGTCAGGATTGCACTGGAAACACAAGCACTGGGATTACGACCCTAATGGCAGGGACTTGAATATGATTTCGAGTGCTTTATACCATACTCAAATCCTGACTTGAGCATCGAGTAGAGTTCTAGAATACGATCCTAAGGGTCGTATTCTAGAACTCTACTCAATGCTCAAGTCAGGATTGCAATTGAAACTGGAAATACGACCCTAATGGCAGGGACTTGAGTATGATTTCAAGTGCATTAAACCATACTCAAATCCTGACTTGAGCATTGAGTAGAGTTCTAGAATATGACCCTTAGAGTCGTATTCTAGAACTCTACTCAATGCTCAAGTCAGGACCTGAGTATGATTTCAAGCACTGGAAATACGACCCTAATGGAAGGGACTTGAGTATGATTTCGAGTGCTTTGAACCATACTCAAGTCCTGACTTGAGCATTGGGTAGAGTTCTAGAATACGACTCTGAGAAAGTCCACTTTTTGAGTTAAGACACTTATTGTATTAACAGTGCGATATGTGTAATAGAGTTCTAGAATACGACCATAGGGGTCGTATTCTAGTACTCTACTCAATGCTCAAGTCCCCTATACGACCCCTAGAGTCGTATTCTAGAACTCTACTCAATGCTCAAGTAGGATTGCACTGGAAATACGACCCTAATGGCAGGGACTTGAGTATGATTTTGAGTGCTTTAAACCATACTCAAATCCTGACTTGAGCTTTGAGTAGAGTTCTAGAATACGTCAGTTAGACAGCCACACATTACACCCAAACTCACGAGAGAAGGTCAATGAGAGAAATAAATGTATGCCATACAAATATTTCTCCCGGCCCGGGAATCGAACCTGGGACCTCTGCGTGGCAGTCCGGCATGGTAACCGTTCAACCACGGAGGCAGTTATCATTTTAATTATCAGTTATTACAATCTTTAAATGTTTTTCGTAAATAAATACCGCATTGGCTTTAGGACCGTAATATAACTTTGAATCAAATATAAAACCTCTTCAAACTTCAGTTTCATATACCGTTCAAATACACCGCTGTATTTAATTTCGAACCTAATTGAAAGTAGCGAGCCCATAGAGTCGCGAGTGCAGTTTGCCATACTGCTCTCGTGCTGAGGGTACTCGAAAACAATATTCCAGGCCCGACTATGCGTCTCGTCGCACTCCTGTGCTTCGGGATCACCGTTCAGGGTTACATTTTTATTAGAACTCAAATTTTACTACGCCAATTGTGTTTCTTTAGCAATCGTGCTTGCAAATTTTGGCTTTGATAAGTTTTTGTCTTGTACTGTTGTAGATGGTTCTCGGTCATATCGACATTAGGTAGAAATTATTATTTCAATCTAATTTGATTTCGCGCATACATCTACAAATGCAAAACCCAATACGTGTCAGAATTATCGTAAAACTACCTACTCACTAACCTACTCATTATAGTGTACTGTCATGCATATGTAAGGTGGTATCTAATAAGCAGGTTTATTAACACGCTCGTCGCCGACTAGAATTTTCAAAAATGTTCAAAATATGACTATGGCTTAAATTAGTGTTTTTGGTCTCATTTGTACACTTATGTAAATTTTTCGGGATTTTTCATTACTTGGCTTTAGTTTGGGATTATATTTAGTGCCGGGCATTTTAAACCGGCGCGTCCTAAATGTCGTAATGCCGGGCAGAGTATGTACACGTAATGTTCGATCGATGTTTACCTAAAACTGGCTTACGTCTTTCATTTGAGATTGACATTTCACGCTAACCTTTTTTTTTGCTTAGTTTCGAACGTTTAAATCCAATTTGAAAAACCAAGTGGCATCAGCAGTTCATTAGGGCCACGCCGGTCATGTTACATGACTAAATACGTAGCGTTTGCCATCTGCAGCGTGAACGAGCATCGCAAAGTTAGATGCGCCGCACAGTCGGCCCAAATTGATAATTCTTGGCCATAGGAATAACTTGTGGAGTATCCGCAAGTACATGTAGTCGGATTATTTTTTTCTAATAAAAAATGATTGGAACTATATTGTAAGTAATCCACGCATATAACATTTTCGTATACTTTGAGATAAAAAATAAAATGTATATTTCTCCATACAAAAAAAAATAATATTTTTTTTATTTATTGTTTTATCTTTTTATCGAAGATAAAATAAAAAAGAACATATAAATAACAAAATCTTCCATAAAAAGATAAAATAATAAATAAAGAAGTTAAAAGTACCAATAATAAATGGGCATATCGTCGCCTTAGAATGAAAACCTCACATACGCGTTTTCCCATAGTTCCTTTTTACTGATTTTTGTTAAAGAAAAACTTATAAATTTCATGCTCAAATATATTATTAAAGTAATATGTATCAGACAGACGTATAATTTAACTAATTAAAAGGCTAACTACAAACATTATTGCGTTTACTTCATTTTACACCACATTTTTATCCTCGTCCTGAAAAATTACATAGAAATCACATACGAAGGTTTCACTCTAAGACGACGATAAGTGAAGAAAATACGAGTGACTCCAAAGAGATTTGTCGGGAGAGTAGCAAGTAGAGGCTCTATACTCCATTCTCTGAGTCTGTCTACCCCAATGGGAGACAGTGTAGCGGTGAAACCAAAATTTTTCCGCTGCGATGATTGGCGAACTGCATTCGTAGATGTCTCCATCATCTCTCACATTCCAGCGTAATATGTGTGTATATATATATATTATACAACCCAACCCATATCATTTTGAAAAACCTTTGCAGTTGCATGTAGAAGAAAAATCATATTCCTTACTGCCAAAGTTATCGTGTAAAATGTTGAAACCAATCTATCAATATTGCCATTCGAATCCAGACTTTCCCCTCTTAGATCGCATTATGAACCCGTCTGTCTGCAACAGATACCTACATTGGGTAATGTGTATTTACCAATGTTACGTGGCGGCGTCTGACGGCTATCCCGCGATCAATTCGTCGCTGTGTTCATTTATTTTTCATAACTTTGGAGTTACCAACCTTAACATGACATTTTGCATCGCTTACATACATATAGTGCAGTTGCAACTGTCCTTTACCGTAATAAAGCAAAACTTGAGACAGAATGTCACTTGATGAAGGATAAAAGTTATTGAACGTTTGTGCAATTGAGCGCGTGCTCAGACGCTAAGAACTCTGAGCGTCTGTAGTTTGTATTGTTAAGAGATTGTATTATGTACTTTTCTTTGTGACGAGGTTTACGTTATATTATTTACGTTTATGTAATCATTCATTTGTAAATCATTGTCGACAATAATAATAATTATGTGGCAGGCAACCACACCAATTACCTGGTCTCGAATTAGGAAATTACCTATGATTGCCAGACTAACACTAGTCAGAACGCCCTGACCAGTACCAGGAAGTCTACCACGAAATACGATACTTCTCGACCGCATCCGCAACGAAGCTCATACGCCCATATCGCACTGTTAATACAATAGTGTCTTAAGTCAAAAAGTGGACTTTCTCAGGGTCGTATTTCCAGTGCTTGAAAGCATACTCAGATCCTGACTTGAGCATTGAGTAGAGTTCTAGAATACGACCCTCAGAGTCGATGAAAAACAAATTACTCACTTCCCGCAAAAAAATCATAAAAAAATATGTATGTTATAGTTTATTATAGACACTTAAACAATTTATCAAATATATTTAAAAATGAAATGAATAATTTAATATTTTTTGTAAGGATTATTTTGGCCAGAACTAGCTCACATAAAGTGTGTCTCATTTTGAATTAAGCGGATATCTTTTAATTAATTCTTACAATATTCTAACGACGGTTTTTTTGACGTGTAGAGAATCAAATTTTACGTTCAGTAATGATATAATAAAATTTTACATATTTTGAGTTACAACACTATAATAATAGCAGTGCGATATGTCAGTTTTACAATGAAAGTAATGTCAAAATTCGATACGAAAGCTGTCATTTGACGTTTAGGGGTAAGGACTTATGTCAAATCACGATCTTCATACGCTTTTCGTGATAGCCTCCGGTCTGATACGAAGCTAAAACGATGATCTTTGCTTCGTATTTCGTGGTAGACCTAATGTTTAGATAAGTTTATTGCCCAAATTGGTCCTACCGGCAATCGAACCCGGGACCTCCTCATCCAAACCGTTGTTCTACCGCGGTCGTCTATGTTCGTTATTTACTGTAACTCGTTAATATAATGACGGAAATGATTCCATATACTCTAATACTTATAGCTTTAACAAGCATGAATGATAACTAATTGGCGAACAATCTTTTATATTATCCGATTACAGAGCTGTATCAAAATCGCAAAAACAAGCTAGATTTTGACGTTGCATCTTCTTCCTTCCTCAGGTATGAAGATATTTGCCCCTCTACCCACAACATGGACGTTCCTCATGTAAAGCGCGAGGACTACCAACTGACCGACATCTCCGACGACGGCTATCTCACCCTCATGGCAGACAATGGCGACCTCCGTGAAGACCTCAAGATCCCCGACGGAGACCTTGGCACTCAGCTCCGCTCCGATTTTGATAGCGGCAAAGAGTTGCTGGTACGTTGCTTTACATAGATATACCTAGCAATGGCGAAACTTGATATTTGAAGTAGGCACGTAGAAAATTTACCTATTCGGTGTATATTTTACAGGATATTTGACTGAGAGTGTGCGATGGAATTACACGATTTAAGTCCACCTTCCCCTTTCCATCACCGGAGGACTAGGCGCAGGCTTGGGTTCCACCCCTATGTTGAGGATATTCCAAAGATTCGCACTAAGCGTTACGCTTCCACATTTATATGGCGAACGTCTATGGAGTGGAATTCCTTGCCTGCAGACTTGTTCCCTGAATGTTATAACTTGGGCCTTTTCAAGGCGAGAGTGAATAGATATTATTTCGGTGTGCATGCTCCATCGTCGACTTCATCGTCACTTTTCATCCGGTTAGATGGAGGTCAAATACGCACTTACTTTTTATAAAAAGATTACTAAGTTGAAGACTGCATTTCTTGGGTTAATAAATTTTGTTAGGGTATATGGGCCCTTGCGACATAAAACACTGCGGTATACATTAACATGGCAATTTTAGTGTTATAACTCCCAGGTAATAAGTTTTACGTTCTAACACTATATTCCCAGTAAACGAAGATGAAACCTTGAACTTGGCGTAGCGAACGCCGGGTCAAGACCTCGTCTGTAAATCACACAATCAATAGTGACAGCTATAACTGGTAGCTACGCAAGCGGACAAGGCTAATATTATAAAATGAACATTATTAATCTTGCAATAGAGAATAAATTTATTTACAGCGCTACCATTCGCGTTTTCATCACTTATCATCAGGTGAGACTGTAACTTAGGTAAAAAGAGATGCAATTAGGTTTAATTGCTGATTATGAGAGGTTTGAAATAACGAATGATTTCTGCCTATTCCGATTTGTGCTGATAAGATTACTATTTAGTTACATTACTTTCACTTTGTAATAACGAAAAATATGTACGAAAAATAAATTATCATAATAAAATGATGTGAAATATATCTGTGCCTCGACTAGAGTGCTAGCACTCGCCGATATTCTGACACCCACTGCCTGATCTGAAACTTGGGAATTACATGTACTATGAGCACCAGAGTAATGGAAATCTGAGGCACTACCCAGAACAACCAAAACCTTGCTTCAAAATGCTTCAGTTAAAAACCAAAATTTTGCAGGTTCTCTGTTAGTACTTAAAGAGAAATATCTCCATACAAAAATTATGTGCAAAGTTAGATATTTTATTCTAAAATAATTCGTTTTACACTTTCATTAAGATTTCATTTAATAGTAAAAACATAAACCATTTGGTCTTGCTTTTTGACACTCGCGCTTCTCCTCCGATGAATAGACGTTATGACGTATTTCGCCTACACGGAAAAACAGTTTTTGGACATAAAAAATGGAAAATAAACTAGTTTTATTTAATTGTTAATCGACTAAACTTCGCTCGATAAAAAAATCACCAAGTTCCGCAAAAACGTTCAACTACGGAAAAATCAGTTTCATTTCATTGTTATTAGGGATATTTCAATTAATTGTTATTTCCTGTGCTCCGTAATAAATACGTCAGAGGACTATAAGCTTATAGTAAGAAAGTAATATTTTACTTCTAGAAGTCAAATATCGTCGGGTGTTTTGTAGAAAGAGCGAAAGCGCCATTTGAAAATATTCAGGGGAGCCTGTTTTAGGTCGTAACAGTTTTAACGACTGTTTTATAACGGGTACACATTCATAGCCCTGCACTATGGAAATCCTGTATCGCGGTTGCCATGGACACATAGGATCGTATTCCAGAACTGTACTCAATGCTCAAGTCGGGATTTGAGCAGACTTGAGTATGATTTCGAGTGCTTTATACCATACTAAAATCCTGACTTGAGCATTGCGTAGAGTTCTGGAATACGACCCTTACATACATAGACAACCACAAATTACACCCAAACTCACGACAGAAATAAATGTAGGTCATTCAAATATTTCTCCCGGCTCGGAAATCGAACCCGAGACCTCTGCGTGGCAGTTCAGCATGGTAACCGTTCGGCCACGGAGGCAGTAAATAGTTTTAAAATATGGATATACGTCCTGTTTTAAAGTTCAATATTGGTTTTAATTATGTTTAAGTTTTAAAATTGAATTTAAAATAGAACGTACATATTTTAAAACAGTCGTGAAATAGTAATACATGCTCCCCTGAACAATTTTCCGAAATGGCGCTTTCGCCTTTCCTTCAAAACACCGACGATATTTAAATATCGTGTATCAATTTCTCCGCGTCTACCTTACACGCGTCAAGATCTACGCACAACAACACAATTTCGCTTGAACTCATTTATAATCGAGTATAGAGTCTCCGATACACTTGGCTAGTGTATTGGTGCTAAATCCACTCGAAGAACAATTTCCGCCCCTCACCTGGGTTAGTGAATATCGCCGACCATATGGACCTGTGGGTTTTGAGTACAGACAACAGTTGCTTTGATAATGTTACTATTTAGGACGCCTTCAAAATAGACGCTCATAGAAGCGCTGCAGCCGCGTCACTGAGAAACGCAAAACACAGAGAACGGGTGCGGGTTGAGCGCGTGTCGGGTCGAGAGCACGGAAACTACACCCGACATGTGCCCGACTCACACTCGTTCTCTGTATATTTCACGCTTAATTGTTATATGATATTTAGAAGGGCAGCTGCAGCGCCACTTTTGCAGACTAGATATTAATAATCTTTATTTCTCTTTACAAAGGGCACAAAGGTTTATAATGTAATTTACATTAAAATGCTTAAGAGGGAGCAGAGGAAAAATTCCTAATCTTCTATTTGATTTTAGAGGGGTATATCCACTTTAAAGTTAAAAGTAAAATATTGTATGAGTAACTACACGATATATTAAGCATAGACACTAATGAGAAACATAAAACAATAAAGTTTCCTCGATAGATAAAAATTACGAAATGACCTCTAATTTTCACATTTTTTCGATTCATCCTCGAAATGCTACAGGTTATTAGGACAAAAATTAGATAATTAATTATATTTATGCATGATCGAGAACTGTCACTACGGATTTTTTTTAATCCCTTTAGTTTTAGAGTTATTCCGCTAAAACGAATTTTGTACTTTTAATGCGCAAAATTCAACATCTCCTGTCGCATGTCACGCGAACTTCAGGCATATACATATTTGTTTCACAAATTTGGGCGGAGCCAACGTCAAATTTTTTTTGGCATGCTCCCTTTTAAGTATTAGAGTACCTTTGTAAGAGACTGGAGTCCACACTAGGAACTAACCTGTGTGACAAGTCTCCAGGCTCTCACGCAGCCTGATAAAATGGTATTTGAGAAAGTAGTTGCAATGTAAATATATTACAAACATCAAGTTTTACAAATATTGTAAGCTGTTACAGAAATAATAATAATAAAATGATAATTTAGTGTTATGAAAATTGTAGAAGCGCTGTAGTGGCGCTGTTGACAACGTACAAGCGTCTAATTAGGTGCTCCCTTAAAGTCTAGGTCCAAAAGACCAATTTAGGAAACGCGTTCGTTTCTGGGCGTTCTATGTAAGTGGTCTCGATTGACACCAGGCAAATGCAATGATCTGGCACATTATCATCATTCATTTAGTCAAAGGACTGTTAATATGAAAACAAGGTTAACTGAAAAGCATAATGTTACTCGCGTTATGAAATTAAATCCTGCTTTCGAGTTACGTTTATTTATTGTAAAGAAGGCTCTGCATTGCTTAAATATCGTACAATTCTGCTGTCCGCTAACTGACAAAATATTTTTTTGAGATAAAAAAAACCATAACCCATTTTAGAATATTTAAATTGTTTAATGATATATCAGCTATGCATCGTTAGGGTAAGTTTCGATAAGTCGAATACGTTAACTAAATTTACCTGTTCGTAAAAGAGAATTTTGTGCTCTATCTTTTGCTATTTGAAACGGATATTTAACGATTTATCACGTAGCCGCGTTTTAGTTAGTGGACGGCAGAATTACACTAACGTCTAGTTACTTAAGTAATTGATTATCTAACATTGTTTCTAATATTGCTTGACACGTTATGTTGCAATTCAGTTTCTGCAACTCTGTTAGAGTCAATTTAAAGTACAAAAACAAAACAAAAATCTCGAAACAAATTTAACTTTACCATCCTGTTTGTCATAATTAGAAAACAATATTAACCATGTACTTAATTTATCGCCTTTTAAAATTACACCGGGTCGCATAATTAAAATCTACTGAGGCTTTTTTACAGAATGTATTTTCACTAATATGTAAACCAATCATAGTCTCTCTTTTTTGAAGATGGAGTAAAATGGCATTTGCAAGGTTGCCAGTTTTCATACAATTTTAAATAGTCATGTAGTTATCTACAGTTTTATCAATAGATTGTGAAAGAAGGTAAAATTCAGCTAAAATTATTTGAATTGTGAATGTTAAGTCGTTCTAATGATTACCAATTCCATTCTTTATTCTTATTTTGACAGTTCGCCTACTATAACGTATATTTCGATATGACCAGCATTAGATGTTGTTACAAAACAAAGTACAGAGTCTTAATTACTGATAAGATTTTTTCGGTTATAATTCTAATATTTCACAGTTTGATTTAAAATTTAGTTATGATTTAAATGACCCGTTTTTACGTAAATTGCACGTTACGTCCATTTGACGACCACTGTGCGGCCCCGGGTAGGACCAATTTGGAAACGAACTTCTCTGAATTGGTTCTAGCCTGGGTGTTCTTTTCTTTATATGAAATATAAGTGCGCATTTGACCTTCATCTCACCTGATGGAAAGTGACGATGAGGTCGACAATGGATCATGCACACCTAAATAATGCCTATTCACTCTCGCCTTGAAAAGACCTAAGTTATATTGTTCAGGGAACAAGTCTAGTTACTTGAATATCATATTGTAAATTGTTAAAAAAAGTCAACCAATAGCAATAGTCCGCGTGACAACATATAATTCTTGATAACTTTGATATTATTATTAGTTAGCGGTCAAACCGCGATTACAGACCTTATGCTATCGGCGCCACGATTCACTTCTTTGCACACAATGGCTGATGTAACGTTGTCAATCTCCTATCACAATGCTATTCCAAATTCTTCATTATAGATGTACGAATAACCTGTTCAACCTATGAAAATTTATTATCATAAAAAAGAAACAGTAAATTACTTATTGATTTTCAATTTCTTACAAGCAACCTTAGGATATTCAAACAATATTTTTAATAAATATACTACATATTGAATATTAAAAATGTATACATAATTAATATTTATTATATCTGTTTGTTTCAGTGCACCGTGCTGAAGTCCTGCGGTGAAGAATGTGTGATCGCAGTTAAAGCCAATACCGCACTTGACAAATAAACCAACTCAGCATTTATAGGGATATAAAACAAGCGTATAATTTTTTTACAATCAACAACTCTTACATAAATGTAAAACATAATATTATGTATAATTTAACGTAAAATATACGGAATGTCGCGGACCTTACGAGTTGCCAAGTGCGCTCCACTCTCACCAGTTTATGCTCAATTTAGAGGGATGTACGGTGGTGGACCGGCTGCGTAGCATTCTAGCGGGTAGCACCACTTGGGCATAAAATAGCAGGCAGCACGTTGCGCCGGAGTTATCTATCGTTATGAACTCCGAAACTGGCAATAATATCTCGCTGACGTAGGGACACGACATGCGATTCTACTTGTTTTAAGGAATTGATTCTAGAGACGTGACAGACGGAATAACCGAGGATAGTAAAGGACTCTAGTCCTGACACTGAAAACTTTATTGCTTAAGACGCTGATTTAGTCTACAATTCGTTTCGTGAAAATTCAGTTGTAATTTAAACAAAATCTTGACTGGACGAACTTGCTAAATCATTGCGCCCACTTCTTAGTCGAGCGACTACTCGAGGTGGAACGAATAAGTTTTCAGTGATAGGAATTGTTGGCTTACGTGTCGGCCGACTTATTGACCGGTCAAGTTCTCAGAGAGCACTTGGGGCGCTAGTTTCTCTAGTTGCTAGTTACAATATTTATTTAGATAGCGGATGGTGTGAGAGTGGAACGCGAGCAGAGTGCAGGCGCCGCGGCGGGCCGTCCGCAACTTCTCGTTTGTTTTTTTTTTGTTTGTTCTCTTTTCGCTTAACGTCTTCTTAACGTTACGTTGCGCTCCGCGAGTCGCCGTAAAGTTTGTTGATCTACATCGGTACGATGAAATTCTGAGTGGTGGATATTAAAATGTTTTATAGTGGTTTATAATCTAACGAAAAGATGGACGCAAACTTGAAGTTAAAAACTAAATATTTTATGCCTAAATTAAAAAATACATATAAAAAATCAATAAAAACAACAAAAAAATAGAAATAAAGGAAAATTCTTGAATGTGTTGTGTGTAAATTTTTTTTGGAACCAGTCAATAGACACGGTTCACTTTCGCCGCGGGCGGCGCTTGACCGTCGCCGGCGCAGCGCCATCCTCGGCCGTGTATCCCTTCATGTGTAACACTTGCCATCTGTTCAAATAAGTTCCAAGCCGCTATCTTCACCTTCAAGGGTTTGCTTATGACATTACATCCCGTTAGGTGTCTGCCATTTTACATGTGCTAAATCAATATTTAAGACTGACTATGACCTGTCTGGAACTGGATATCTTTCAGCAAAGACTGAAATGCATTTTTGTAGGAAAAAACTAGTTGATTTTTTATATGGTATTCAAATATTCGCTTTTAAAGCCGAGGCCTTCCCTTGCTTTCTTTTTCAAACATTTGAACAAATGAATTGTTACACATATTCTTTATTGAGTGGCTCATGAATGCCTATACTTCATGTTTCTATGTAAATTGCCCCTGTAACAGCTGTTTGCGACTTGGGGCCAGACGTGCTATACTCGCGTGTACTCGTCTATGTTAATTTAAAAACATCAGTCTTAAGACAATTATATTATACGAAATATCTAATATAAGACGTAAGGTAAGGCCTTTATAGGAAAAATATTTTTTTATGCATTCAAAATTTCTTACATTGCATAGTAGAAAGTAAAAAAAATTAACTGTTCCCCAGTCGATACCGGATTTTTATTTTGAACACATCGTTGGTAATGTTTTTATACTTAGCAGCTTATAATCAGGTTTTTTATTTGAGTATAAAACCTAAGGTATACTTGTAAAGACAACGCGTGATTTACAATAAATACTTTAGTGTAAAAATGTAACTTTTCATTCGAGTTAATGTCTGTAAGAAGCTGTATACTCGCATCTCGTAAGAGCTGTAAGATTTCTGAGCAAAGCTGTAGAGGGTAACATTTGATGTGGAATTCCTTATTCCTACCCATTTAGAATTAATGGTGCACTTTAAAGCTATCGTTAGGAATTGATTGGTCTCTCACACGACTTAGGCATAACTTAAAAACAGCTTAATATGTTATGTTTTAGAGTGTACTTTGTATATTTTTGTGTAAGTATCCTTCAAAGTTTCTGATCCAGTAACCTGCGTGAAAGTTTTAGTAAATAATTTACTAGATGAATTCAAAATAACACTATTCGCATTATGCACGAGAGACATATTTCATGCAGGTTACTTGCAAATACGCTGTTAAATTCTAAATACAGTTATACTGAAATTAGTAGATTGTTTTTGTAGCCTGGAGATCATTCAAATCTTACTGATTCTTATAACGTGCAGATTTTATTTAGGGTATCTTAAATTATTTTTTATAAAGGGGCGCGGGGGGATTCAGGAAGTACCAAAAGAAAGTACTGTATATACGTAAAGATTGGTTAGAAAGAATATAACTATAGCATCGCTCATTTTAGCAAACTGTATGTAAACCTCTTCATACAGTCTTCAACGCAAGTTATTAATTCCGAATTAACAATTAACGGCCAATAATACATATGTGTAAATGATACAGTTTCTGTGGAATTAAATCTGTACAAAACGAAAGATCGTGCGTTGTGATTCAATTACCTTTTAATTAGTTTGATTTAGTTTCTTTTTTACATTTACACTAGTGTATAGTGTGACAAGGATCATTACTCAAGCTACTCTAAAAAGCCGGGATAAAAATATCACAATAGTAGGTCCTGATGGAACACTACTCTGAACTCGGCACCGTGTCAATAGGGAGTCTAATAGTTTTAGTAGAGCTCCTTGTGAAAAAGATCGTCCTGGGAAGTACTACCTAATTCTGCCGCCGCTGGGTTTCAGTTCTAAAGAATAAAGGTGCTGGTAAACTTACAAGCACATGGAACTTTTGAACTTATACCTCGGGGCGATAGACGCAGCGCAGTGTCTAAAAAACTCTGAGCGGCCTTGCAACAGTTATGAACAGGCGTGTCGCTTACCACCAGGCGCAGAACTTATTCGTTCCGTCGCTATAGATATTATAAAAAAAGACTTAAGGGGTATGTATGAACGACTGATGGAAACGGAGGAGCGAAAAAACTTAAGGATCATTAAAAAACCTACTTTTATGTTTATATTTATGTTTTGTTGTTAATATTTATTAAACATCCCAAAATATAAAGTGAGGAAATCTAATATTTTCGGCAAACTGACTGAAAAAAAAGTTACCTATCTTTTTTCAATTTCAAATTCAACTTTACTGTTTCCACTTACATTACTTTTTAATGTTCTTTCGGTTCCCCATAGGTTTAAGAACGATCGCATAATGAACTGTTATGAAATGTGTAGCGTACTAAGGCTCAATTTATATTGCAGCAGAACGGAATGGAAGCAAATTTTTGTAACGATATTACACATAGCGTAATTATATTGTCAATGGTGTACCCTTAGAATAATAACGCATAGAATGATAGTTTCATATCAAACGAACTGTCACAAGCGAGGCAAAAATCAAATTCATGTAGGCTAGTTTTAGTAGTAGGTTAATTTTCGGTTTTAGTGAATATTTATATAAAAATAAAAGTTGAAACGCGTTACTTCCTTGTGGAATGTGTTGTTACTATCTATTTTATGTTTGTCTGACGTATTTTTACACTCATTTACCGTACACTTCGTCATTTTTAGCTAAAATTCTTGATCTGTTCACGGTGCAAGTTGACCTTGAGCACTGAAGGCCCGCCCGCTCGTGTAGGCCCTTTTGGCGCGCTTCAATTTGCCTCACTTAGTGTGTGCGGACTAGGTTTCTATGCGTTATTATTTTAAGGGTGTACCGTACAAACTAGATTCGCACCAAAAATCGCGTCACCCATCTTCCGCGGAATTCTCGTGCTTTCCGCACCTGCTGTCGGCGACGCCTGGCGTATTCGCGGGAAGTGGCTCGAAGGCAGACGCAGTGTGACGTCAAACGTCGACGAAATACTAAAAACACAAGACACGGTTACTGGAAAGCTCGAGCGTTCCAGAGACCGCGCGCGCCTTCTGGCGCAGCGACACGAAATTGACACTTCCATTCCGTTCCGCCACAATGTAAATTGAGCCTTACTAGATACGATTATGGACTGGGAATTCCTGGGTAATTTCAGGTTAGTTTTCTCTACCTAATTTTGGTGGCAATTTTTATTATTTAAGTGTTCGAGTATATTATCTTGAAATATCATTGACTTACAATTATATGAACGTCGGGTCCGCGCTAAAAAGTGTCCGCACTTGTAAGGCGCTAAAATCGTATACAGAGCGCCAAACTCCGCTTTAGTCTTCATTTGTTCGACTGACAGCGCGATACTGCGATGACATTACAATTTAAATTTCGAATAGGTTGACTTGGGACATTTTTTTCGTGGTTTTTGTATTAGACCCGTCGTCCATTTATTTGTAAGTCAATGTGAAATATTAAATAATATTTCAAGTTCCTGCACTTGAATATTAAATAGTACAGATAATATTCTAGAAAATTTGACTAACAAAAATGGACACCTAAATTAGGTAGAGATAATTTTAATTTTTTTTTGTTAAACTCGATCTCGAAAAGTTCGTGCAATTAAATCTATTTGCCAAGTTTTATTGAAAAGTCTGGTAAAAACTAACCTAAAAATAACCTTCCCGAGACTGCTCGAGAATTCCCCGGAAGACGTGCGACTTGTTTTTTGGCTGGTACCTATCTACTTTCTACGTTAAACAATTGACACAAAGCTCTGACAATGTAAATTGAGCCATGCGTTACCTGGAATGGACCCGCACCTTACCAAAGAAGTTAATCCTTGTCAAGCTAATTACAAAAACCAAAAAGATTAAAAAAAACTAAAATGTAAATTAAATTATTCCTAAGCTAAATTACAATGCGTTCGATGTTTGAATCACAATGCCAAAAAATACAATATAATTAATAATGGATTTTATAAGCTAGGTTACATGGGTTTCGATATTGCTGATGCGGCGCCTGATCGCTGCGTGCTGGAATCGATGTTGAAATCTCCTAATGCAATCTCAGCTTTTTACTTAGGGTTGGTATATGTAACACCTCCACTCTTAAAACAGCAACTATTTAGATTTTTATTTAGAATTAATAACGCACACACTCAACATAGCCCCACACTAGGGAAACCCTGTGTCTCTTATATATATAATTATTTAATTATTTAGAATCTTGAGAGCAAAATTTGCTGGAGTACTTTTACATGTTTCCGATTTCCCAGGAACTGCATAGTTCGATTTAGACTCCTCCGTTTTTATCTCGGGCCTTTCTGTGTGCCTTCTTAGGTAGGTAACAACGTCGTACAAGTATGAGAACGGCCAGTGCAAGTGCACTTAATAACACTCCATAGAATGGTATCGTACTGTGGTAAACTGTATCGGAAGGTGGCATCAAATGTACAGTAGGGTGTAATATGATTTTTTCTTGTAAGTCCTTTGAGATTAATAGACTTCAATTTGATGTGAGGTTGTGAATTCTGTGTCGCAGCATCCATGAAAATTTTCATTGTCTTCATTGGTTGGCCTTCGACTTGGTCATTGGTGTTTTTGATAGTGAATTCATCTGTACGTTATATACAATTCATAGGAACAGTAGCTAGGAAGCTGCCTCTTATGATGTTGAAATCTTCACGTACATATATGGGACGTACATTGGTGAGTCGCGGAAAGGAGAGTACGTAGTGTCTTTCGTCCAGTTTCTCTACGGCTTCCTGGATAGGCTGCTTGTAGACGTCTTGCAGGTCGTATCTACAGATTGATTAGTTAATATGTTCTGGATATAGTCAGTTTGCGTTCGGACTTGGTTGTTCACCTTCTCTTCGCAGATAAACCAGTTAGTGAGCTTCGGACATTCTGTCTCTGTGTAGTACTATGTTGTGCCATCCAATCTTTACTGATACGAACGAATATGATTGTTAAATTCATCTGTAATTTTTAATTGATTATTCTGGAGAGCTTCTATGGCATCATCGTATTTAGCAGCATCTAAATAGTCGAGATTATCTGAGATGCTCTTAATAATGGAACCTAAGCCGTCTACAAGACTTCTCCTGTTGCGTTTAGGTTCTAAGCTACTTAAATGACTTATGATTTTTTGAAGTTGATAAGTCTAATCTCAAAAATCTAATCTGTAATTCATATAGAACATAGGTATCATTCGGTAGTCTAGTTTTAAAGTCTAAAGGTCGTTTTTTATGGTCATTATTTTATCCTCAATATTGTCAAGTTGGATGTATTGTAAAATTATATGGTAGTGTGTTACAAGTCTAGTTGGTCCCAGTCTAAACGGGAGTAGTCCGGTCTGTCGTCTAAACTTTCAAGTCTTATCTCTTGTGCCGTAATTGGTGATAGGGCGGTCAGGGTTAGAACGATTCTGTAACATTTTAGCCGATTTAGGTACTCTCTTTAATCGAGATTTAGCTACAGGGCCGCGTTTTTTAGTCGTGTAAATGTGAATAGGTAAGTCTGCTAGGACTGTATCTTGAGTGTAGCGGGGTGCGAGCTTCTGGCGGCTAGCAAAAGGGTTGCTAATGAACACCTGCTGTTGGGGTTCATGTTCAACCTCAGACTCGCGGTCTTTATTACGATTTTCAATTAGGGTGGTACGGTCAGCTAGGGATGATTCATTTATTATTTGATAAACGGTTTTCATTTGGTCTCTGTGGTTTTGTGAATATTGTTGCACTGAACTGAACTGTCATAAGCTAATATGGCATAAGGTTTATTACAGGCTCATTTTTTGCTGTAATTTTAATAAACGTAGATGCTCAAATAAAGTGGAATGGAATCTTTCGTTATTGCCATTGTCATTGGGTGAATAAGGTAAAGTTCTATGATGTTGTATTTTATGTAGCTGGGTAAATTCCGTAAATAATTGGTTTGTGAATTCCGTTCCATTGTCAGTCACTAACGTTAATGGAAGACTATGGTGAGTACAAAAATGCAGTAAGCTTTGAATGGTGCTAAGAGCTGTACCGTCACGGAGATAGTAGGCTTGGGCGTACTTTGAAAAAACGTCTATTATAGGGAGTTAAAAAGTTTTCACTATGTGCGGTAAATAGGTCTAGATGGACTATTTCAAATGGTTTCGTTGCAGTAGGTACAATATTGAACCTTTGTTTGATAGGGATTCGGTCATATTTGGCCTGACCACACAAGGTGCATTCGCTTATGAATTTTGTAATCTGTTCCCTCATCTTAGGCCAAAAATATAGTTCTTAATAATGTCCTGCTGCCGTAAATATTCCTTTACGTTTTCGACTTCGGTTTTTGCTAATACAAGATTCCTAGCTGAACTTTTAAAGTGATTTTGAATTATTGGTATGATGTCATACATTCCGAGAGGCGGAATTATCAATAAGGCAGTCTTTACTTTAGGGTTTACGTACTCTTTGATGGTTTTCACTGCATCCTCTACCAAGTTATTTTCAGAAATCTGTACGGAAGTCCGCGTGTGCGTCTCGAATGGTTTTGTCACAGTTGGTCTGCTTTATAAGTCACCTACAGTAGTCATAACAATTTGTCTATGGAATTTATTTAAGGGCTCATCCGTAATAGGAACTTCAAGGATTGGGTGCTCTAGGCTAGTATGAACTGTTTCTGTACTTGAGTTATTAGCAAGGTCTCAGGTTCTTTTCAGGATACTCGAACGGCGACGCGATCGCTCGCGGCGGTAGCGATGTGGTGATACAAATCGATGTTAGAAATGTCCTACGCTAATCTATTCAAGTATCCTACCGACTGCGCCAATTACGAAGACTGCGGCCGGAGGACTTAAAAAAACCAAAAAGGTTTTAAAAAACTAAAATTTAATTGAAATTATTCCTAAGCTAAATTACAAGTGTTTGCGTTCGATGTTACAATCATAATGCCAAAAAATAATATATAATTAATAATGAATTTTATAAGCTAGGTTACATGGGTTTCGATATTGCTGATGCGGCGCCTGATCGCTGCATGCTGGAATCGATGTTGAAATATCCTAATGCAATCTCGGCTTTTTACTTAGGGTTGGTATATGTAACAAGCTACATCAACAGAAAGACAACATGAACATACATTTTTTATTTATTTTTTATCAGAACATAAATATAATATAAACAAGTTCATGCGGCTTGGTAGAAAACTACTCAACATGATATTACTTCAAGGCGGACTACACTCGCATGGAATTGGGGTGTAATTTTGACCTACTTAAAAGCTATAAAATGTTTGAGGAAACCAAGTTTTGACCAAAACTGGGTTTCGATGCTATTTAGGAAAATAGAATGACATCTGAAATACTAAGTACACTTGACCAGGTATTCGTTATCATGTTATCATTATTGTATTTTTGATTCAACTCAAAATAGTTAACAAAATCAAAAATAAACCAACGATTTTCTATTCAAATTTCAATAATACATACTGTACAGTAGCAGTCTGCGTCAAATTGACGTAATCTTTAAAAATGTTCATAACATCAACCTTATTCTAATAACTGAAAGGCTTAAAATTAATATTGTCAATTGTATAAAAATATGTCCAAATATTTTTAAACACTCAGGTCATTTTGACGCTAACTGTACAACAATTCAATATAATTTAATCCCATTCGTCTTCATCATCCGAACTATCTGAAATTTCGATACTAACGAATGGATCTTCGATATCTAAAACTGATACTGTAAAATCCTCGCCAAGATTTTCTAGTTTCTTTACTATATATTCCTCGGGTTCCTTTTTTATTATGATTTCTGATTTAAGTTGTATTTGTCCAGTTAGTTCTGATTTTGTATCTATTTCGAATTCTTTTCTTAGGCCGCCTGCCTCGTCTTCATTAGCAACGATTCCATCTGTTGACCCTGTATTTTCTGTTTCTATATCTTCTACTGGAACATCTACTTGAAGATTATTATTTGCAGCAATGTTACTATGTATACTATTATCATTATTTATTGATTCGGCATTAGAAGTTATTTCCAATGGCTTGGTTAGTTCTCTTTTGGTTTCATGTTCATTATTTGCATTTTGATTTTCCGCACTTACTACTGTTTCATTTTTTGCAGTAATTTCTGCTACTGCTGCAGTGTCAATTAGGACTTCCAACGGTATATGGTTTCCTAAAGTATTTCCGTTACTCGTGTCCCCCTCTATATCTCCAGCGTCTGAATCTGTATCACGATCATCTTCGGTTTCTGACTGTGTGTTGGAATTAGCAATAGTCTGTATTGGACCATTTAGTTCCCGTGGACAGCTAGGTGTCGGTTTTCTCGTAGGTAAACTTTCCATCATTGCATACCTGAAAGTAATTTGTAGTTTATAATGTTTCTTTGTATATTGTTCACTTATTGTGACAAATTTATAGACCATTATGGTGTACTGTGGCTACGGCAGCACTAAGATTGTATAGGACTTAATGCAGTTTAGTTTACAGAAGAACTTCTTAATCATCATACACTTAAATTTATGAAATGCTAATTTCGGGATAGGTCACCTTTTATAAGGTCATTTAATACGGTAAACAATTTCTGAAAGCTAACCCTCGTTTCGAAGGTAAATTTCTTTAAGAATGATCAAGAACTCCTTTATTATCACCTTTCTAGTATATCATTCTCCTTTTTCTCGGCGATGAGTCTATTAGCGTCCAACTGAGCACGGAGTTCGAGATCGTCATCCGCCGGATCGTGGTGCTCTAGGTTTATGCGTTTGAGAAGGTATTTGTACTCCCGCTGTTGCCGCTGGCGCTGCAACTCTCTTCCACAGTAGATGAACAGGGCTGATGCTGTAAATGGGATGAGTAACTTTTATATATTCTATAAGGGTACAAAAACCAATAGTTCATTTACATAAATGACTACCGCTGTTTGACATTTACGATTCTATACTTCGCAATGGCTGCCGAATTCTCATGACCAACATTCTCAATACTTCTTAGCATCGCAGTCAATGTTGATAACAAATTCACTCCTGTACAAACGTATCTCCCAGCCAGAAGAAGCAGCCCCAGTTCCCTAATTTTGATGATCTACAATTAATATATAATATCCTACTACAAAATACCCTTAAATTAAAAGAGCAATTAGTTAAAAAACCACTCCTCGACAAACATAATATGCCCCAAGCAGAGGATGTAAAAGCAGTGAAGAAAATCCTATTGTTCTTTAATTCTATTAATAAAGAGGTGGTCACAAGAGGTCATTGCTGGTTGCAGAGTGGGAGTTAATAGATACATGTAGGCAAAATGTACCCAGGGAATCAATTACACAAATAAAAGTAAACGACACTATTATTACGAATCCATCACTCATTGCAAATGCCTTTAACGACTTTTTTATTCACAAGACTCTACCAACTACAAAAAAATCGGCACACAATCAAAAAAATTTCGACAAAAACTGTTGCTCTATGTTTATGGCACCTTGCATACCATATGATATTGTAAAAATTATAAAATCACTTAAAAATACTAGAAGCGTTGGATATGACGAAATCTGTACAAAGGTTTTGAAGTCAGTTGCTGAAGAAATAAAGAATCAATTATGCTATATCCTAAATATGTGTATAAATCAAGGTATCTACCCGGATGACTTAAAAACAGTCATAGTCAAACCACTTTACAAAAAAGATGATAGGGAAGTCATGAAGAACTATAGGCCCATATCATTGTTATCAGTCATATCAAAAATATTTGAAAAATACATAAGTTCACAATTACAAATATTTTTAGAAAAATATAATATATTAGCATGTGAGCAAAAAGGTTTTCGACCAAAAAAGAATATAAACATGGCTATATATGATTTTATGCAGGAGTTATATCAAGTGTAGATGAAAGTACGCCAGTCTGCTCTATTTTTTGCGACATGACTCAAGCGTTTGATCATGTAGAGCACAAAATACTTTTAGGAAAATTAGAAACCTATGGTATAAGAGGTAATATTCTTAAACTAATTTCATCGTATCTTAATAATCGAAAACAAATCACTGAAATCAGCAACATAAATATCCGTACCAAAACCGAATGTGTCCTTAGATCTTGTAGTAAAACAATTATGTACGGCGTTCCGCAAGGTAGCGTCTTGGGCCCATTGCTATTCATTTTGTACATAAATGATCTACCTAAAGTTGTCCCGAATCACCACGTTTCTCTCTTTGCCGATGACAGTACAATAACAATTAAGTGTAAAAATAAAATTACTTATGAACAAGACATTAACGAAGCCGTAGAGTCCATTATAACTTGGTTAAAAGAAAATAACCTCAATATTAATTTTGAAAAAACTAAAGTAATGCATTACAGTCAGCGACAGAATAATAATAACGTCAATGTTAGTTATGACAACATAAGTATTGGCCAAGTAACCGAGACTAGATTTTTGGGTATAATTGTAGATAATAAGTTGACATGGAAAACACATATTCAAAACCTATGTAAAAAATTAAGCATTTCTTCCTATGCCTTATACAGATTGGCTCATATAATTGACATTAACTCATTATTGACGGCTTATTATGGTATAGTGGCTTCACATTTAAGCTATGGGATTATTTTTTGGGGTAATTCTACAGATCGGGATTTAGTATTTAAAGCACAAAAGAAATATATAAGAGCTATATTTAGCATTTCTCGCATGGAAAGCTGTTTGCCCTATTTAAAAAAATATAATATACTAACGGTGCCATCATTGTATATTCTAGAATGAGTATTATTTGTCAAAACAAACCCTAATCTGTTCAGCAAACTTATGGAAGTAAGACGTAGGAATAGAAGAGATAATGATGCAGTATCTATGATGCCACATAAAACTGCATTTATGTCAAAAAGTGTGCTCTGTATGCTGCCAAGATTATATAATAATAGAGTCCCAAAATCTATACGTGAATTACATGTAGATTTGTTTAAGAATAAATGTAAGCAGTATTTATTTGATAAATGTTTTTATAATATAAATGATTATATGAATACGAGATGGATTTAGGGCCCAATTATAATTGTTTTTATATCTAGTAAGATTACATAAGATTACAGATGTATTTGACTAATTTATGTTATTACTGACTTTCATTCATTTTTGACATGCACATATTTTATGGAGGCTTAGAAATGTAAATTATGTAAGTTTGACATTAACATGATTTTTCGCTTTATTTTTGACATTGTTAATTTTTACTAATTTTTATTATATTTTTTCTTTGCATGTTTACTAGTTTTTGACAGTTTTTAATATTTTGTACATTATGCGACCACCACTAATTATATTTGTATGTTTCGACGAAACTGGTTGTAGTAGCACTGTTAATGTATTGAACTGATCTAATGAACTTATTGTACCTTCTTCCACAAATAAATCGATCTTTATCTTTATCAGAGATAAAGAGCTGCTTAGACACTGAATAAGTAATTCTTATAATAATAGCGTATAATATATATTATAATAATAGCAGTTATCAATATTGAAAGCATCGAAAGGAAGAAAATAAATTTCACGTCGCGTTAAAGAAGTGACACCTATCCGAGTTTCGATGAAATACAAAACTCATTGTACTTTAAAATTTTACTATTAATTGGAAATGAAACAATTTTTTCATATCTAAATCGTATTTTGTTCTGTTAGTATGTTGTATTGCACATGTACTCAATACATAATATTAATTAAGGTACATACACTACTAATACAGTGAGCCTTGTCTGTGAAATCTGTAAAGAGCCCTAAAAATTGGTCCATTTGAGAAAACAAATTTACGCGATTTAAATCGGAAAATATAGTTTCATTTCCAATTGCTAAAACTAAGAACTATATATTTTGCAATTAAACCTACCTTCCTTCAGAACTTCTTGTCTAGTCCAATTCAGACCAGACTCCGCAATGGCATCAGTAACACATTTAATGACATCATTAAAGTCAGGGAACGGCGGGTTTCCGTCTTTCCTAGTGCCATTGAGGAACTTCTCCAATTTCTTCACGGGCCCTGTCGGATGACCTTCAAGTACCTCCAGCCTGACCTTGCGGCGTTTGACTGGTGAATGTCCAGTTAGTTCACAAAGTTCTTCGTAGAGACTAACTACTTCTTTTTTAAAACTGAAATTTATGTATTGATAGTGAAGAGTTAAATAATGTTTCTTTTAATCACATCAGTAATTCCTGACTTTACACTTTACACCGAGGTCGTCTTTACAGGAATTACTAATTCCTGTAAAGACGACCTCGGTGGCCAAATGGTTTGCACTGTGGGCACTGGATGAGGAGGTCCCGGTAGAACCAATTTGAATAATGAGCTTTCGTAAAGCTGGAAGATGTTTTTCGGTTAGAAAAGATGCCACGCTTACTAAGGAAACTGTACCGAATAAGAGTTGCACAAAGGGCCATGAAACACGCCATTGTCGGTATCACACTCCTCGATAAAATTCGAAACACGGAAATCCTACGTCCTAAAGTTCAAGACATTGGCGACCGTGTTGAAAGACCTGAAACAAACGTGGTGATGGCCACTGGAGTAAAGTTCTGACGAAGTGGTAGCTAAAGATATGACGAAGAAATCTAGGTCGTCCAATTGCAAGCTGGGTCGACGTCTTAATAAAAGTCAAACCAGGACCAGAGATGCACAAGACCGGAAAATTTCGTAGGAGCGAAAGAAGACCTATGAACAAATTGAGTAATATAGGGCTGGAAATGAAAAAATGAGCTCTGATATTAGTGATCTTGTCAGTAGAAGAAATTAGATATAGGGCAAGAATAAATAAAAGAAATGCTTGCTTCTACAGTGAGAGGTCAACGATTGTACGCCTGTAATTGCATATACCTGTATACTTCTCTATGACGGTGAAGGAAAACTGATACCAGCAAGACAAACTCTTGGAAAATGTGTCGTACGTCTCTATAGTTGAACATATAATGGGTTGAAGATGATGACAGGACAAGGATCAAAACTTTAACTTAAACAGCCTTTACTAATTTAGTTTTGTAGTGTGTTTTATATAAAACAAAATGTTATGAATACACAAAGATGTTGATTGTCGCTGCATACTTACTTTTCACTCTTAATATAAGATGATGAAGTAGAATCCAAATCGACCTCCTCTTCATCATACATTGTAATCAGTCTTTTACAGAGTGCAATTTTGTTTTCAAGTTCCTTTATTTTGACTTGTTTATCTTCTGATGGGCCGTGTGGTTGATTTGGAGATAATGCAGGTTCTAGATTGTTAACAATGTCAGGATCCCTATATACCTCAAATAGTGGTTCTAATAAGTTATCAGATTTACTGTTATGGTCGTCTAGGTTCTCTTTTTCCTCACAATTTTGTGTTTCATCCAAATCGATCAAATCGTTTTGATTGTGATCATCATCCAAGCTGATAACAGGTATGTCTTTTTCATCATCTGAATCAATTATGATGTTAACTTTTTGTTTTTTTGATTGAGTATCACCAAATTCACTGGAATGCCTTTTGACACTTCCTTCTGAAATTTAATTTGCCAATTTAGAAACTAACATGGAAAAAACCTTGATCTGGTGCATCAACTCTCCATATGATTTGTCGCCACAGTTACTACTGTATTTGACATTTTTATTGCAACAGTTAACACAGTAAGGAGAAGGGCGATACTATGGTGTAATTGTGAAATAGACCTGATATTACGATCTCCGTCTAAAAAAGAAGTATGCTAACCGCAATCACTCGAATAGAATTACAAATAATAAAATAATTACTTTTCACATCTAAAGTAACTAAATTCACCCGCTTTTTAGCTTTATGCTGTTTCATACTTTCACATAAATTCTTCAAATGTGAGAATTTGTGATCTGGATCACATTCTATATATCTTGTTGCTTTTAATAATATTCTTTGGAAATCTCTTGAATATTTGTAGTCTTGCTCCATTTCATTATAAATTCTCATCAGTGTGTTATTAATTATACGTGACATTCCTTCAGAGTGTTCTAAATTTAAACATTTCTCTACAAATTCTGCAAGCAAAGCATTATCTTCAAAAAGTCTTGAAAGACAATTAATTGTTTCAGACTGCTCCTCATTATTTTTATTTCCACCATTGCATAAGTCAATTATGTTGTTATTAGACTGAATGCTTTTTTGTGGCGAAGGTAGCTGATCTACGTCAATTATTGTTTCCATAACACATGAATTTCCTGTTTTTACATTCTTGTTTGTCCTGTGGCTTTCGGCAATCTGCAAAAAATAAGTTCTTATAAGATGGTGATTAAGTCAAGGTAGGAACAAATACCTTACTGCCTTTAGTAAATTATAACATCAAGAATTAATTTAAATACCGCACGCAAAATAGGTGTCTCGACGTCGAGTTGCGGATACCAGCCCGTTACACCAACATCAAGAATTGAGGAATATCTGAATTACCATTAGGAACTTTGTTCATTAAATTGTTATATGCTATACAGGGTGAAATCGTTAAGACTGCCCGGCCGTTTATTCCTATATAAACTTGTTTGTGTTGTTTATATTCAATCCTATATAAACAACGTAATATTTATTTTATTTTCATTTGCGGTTTCGCGCGTAATAGATAAGCAGTACTTAAGTTCAATACTTACTTACGTATTTCTCAAAACAAAACAATGTCGGAAGTAAAAAAGAAGAGACGGCAATACTGTGCGGAATATATTAAACTCCGATTCATTGAAAATCCCACAAACCCATCGTCGCCTTTATGCGTGCTATGTCTAAAAACATTTTCGAATGAAGCAATGAAGCCTTCAAGACTGCAAGATCATTTGAATAAAATGCATCCAGACAAGAAAGACAAGAATGTTGCATATTTTCAAGACCTAGAGAAGAAGCATAATACTCAGCCAAGTGTAGCAAAACTCTTTTCGGCGGCTGCTAAGCAAGATGACGACGGACTTCGAGCTTCGTACAATATCTCTTTGGTAATTGCTCAAAAAGGCAAACCACAGAACATCGGAGAAGAGTTAATTTTGCCAGCATTATAGGAAAGAATAACTACTGTGCGTCATAAACCAGCCGTAGATATTATCCGAAAAATTCCTTTGAGTAATAATTCTGTGCAAAGACGAATTGATGAAATGGCTGAAAACATTGAAGAATCATTGTGCAATCATCTGAGGACTAGTCAATTCTCAATTCAGCTCGATGTGTCCACTTTACTAACTAATGAAGCATTGTTGCTGTCTTACGTGAGGCTTATTAAAGATGAGAAAATATGTGAAGAACTATTGTTTGCTAGAAATTTAGAGACCGATTCAAAAGGCGAAACCATATTCAATACATTGGAAAAGTTTTGTGATGAGAAAGAGATTCCCTTGAAAAATATTATATCAGTTGCTACGGATGGCGCTGCGGCTATGACAGGGTGCCATAAAGGCTTCATAGCGTACTTAAAAAATAAAATTCCAGGTGTCCTTGCTGTACATTGCGTATTTCATAGACAACATTTGGTTTTTAAGTGAACGACTATTTCAATCACTGCAATATTTCATCAAAGCAGTCAATATAATCCGTAACAGCTCTTTGAATAATAGATTATTTCATCAGCTTTGTGTTACTAATGACGAAGATTTCAACCGTTTTTGATGTTTCACACTGTTTGACTCTGTGATCTATCACAGAGTCAAACGAGGAAATAAAAATCAAGTTCAAAAATGGCTGCCAAGAATTTTGGCTACAAAAACCGATCCCGCAATTGTACCCTGGATTGTAGTCAATCGTTCAACGATTCTTGATAGCATTCCCATCGTCATATTTTTGCGTGAACGTGGTTTTAGTGCTGTGACAATGCTGCTTACTAAAAAGAGAAATCATTTGCATGTTACTGAACATGGTGACTAGCGGCTGTTCTTGATTAAATTAGAACCTGGTATCAACAAACTTAATAAACAGCATCAGATTCATCCTTCACATAAGTTTTTATATTAGAATCAATTGTTTGTTTTATTTTGAATAAAAGATACTCTGTCTGAATACTATAAAGTTGCATTTCAATAATCATTCTCATTGGCAGGTGTAGCCCGTAAGAGTTAACTTGAGACCTGAGCGCCATTCTGTACTACTGACTGCGCTCAGGTCTCAAGTTAACTCTTGCGGGTTATAGTAAAATCGTTTAGAATAAATGTTTAATCTGCGCTAATATAGCTCGCAATAATTAATTTAATTTGAAGTTATAGTGGTTTTTAAGTAGGTGAAAAAATGGGGGCGCTAAAAAAGAATTTATTCTCAAAGTGGGCAGTAGACAAAATAACTTTGGGAACCCCTGTTTTAATGTAATAAAAACAAAGTGGTTTTTATTTTTTAGTAAGTACAAAATTTAGTTTACAAAGTGTTGTTCGAAGTGAGAGCCTTGTTCAGCAATACATTAGTTTATTTATTTTTACATATACAAACTAGCAACTATCATTACAGGACTAACGTAATGCAATAGTGTAGCCAAAATTATCACTTGTTCAACATTATTAATTACACTAATATTCAAAGTTCTATTATATCTACAAAATTATATTATACCATATTATATTACAAACTGTTAGAGCGCGTTCAAATTAGACAGTCGCGCGGCCACCACGCGGCCGCCGCGCGGCTGCAGCGCTACTAACAGCGTCTAATTTGAACGCTTATTATATTCCATAACACATTACAAAGAATTTGGTCAATTTTGTTGTCAATAACTTTCAAAGGCCTCATAACTCGTACCAGTGGTGCCTAGTTCAATAGGTTGGTTCTCCCACAAAGAATAATTATCGAGTAATTAAAACAATTGCATGGCGAGCACGATTCTGGAGTTCTTCTAGGCTGTGTAATCTCTCAGCATACATGTGTCTTTGACAAATCCCCATAAGTAAAAATCACATTGTGTAAGATCCACTGTTTTTAGCTATTAAGCCAAAGGTTTCTTTTAAAATCCTTTACAACATTTGTGTTGTGTGGTGGGGCCCCATCTTGTTGAAAAATTATCGAAATTCGTTCTTCGTCTGGAATTTATTCTAAGAGACACTGTAAATTGTTTTGTACGAAGTTGAAATATCTCTGTTGTCATACGCAGCCAGGTCAATTTATTATAAATTTCGAACGATAATGAAATCTCAAAGCTCAAAGGAAAGCTCAATACTTGGTATGTATTAATTTGAAGCGGTAAGATAATCAATCGACACATGTCTTGAAAATCATTATGGTTGATAAGTAATCATCACATGTGATTAAGGTAACAAACAATGAATTAATCCTAAGTCGTACAATAACTTTGAAACTACTAGATCTCTTATAGTAGCAAAACTAGAGCTTCCCTACGAATGTCATTATTTAATGTTCAAATTTTGGATATTTCTAGTTTTATTTTTAATATATTAATGCCGTTTTACTCATTAGTTAACATACTTTCGATTACAGTTTATATTATATTAGAATACGTAAGCCAAACCATTAGCAAGTGACCAACGATACCTATGCAAGAAACTTATTTTCATAAAAATAATTCACGTACCTCTGAGGTATTATCATCATCCGAGAGATACACGATATAGTCTGCTACTTTCATCATTACATTATTAAATTCCGTTTGGGCATGAGTTTGTAAAATAAAATAGAACGAGCCTATCCGTAAACTAAAAATCCGATGAAAATGAATTTCTGATAGTTTTAGCGACTGTCAAAGATATAACAACAGTTGGTACGAAGCTTAAAGAAGGTTAATTTGAGACAGTAGACAGAGAAAATACTGGTGAATTGGGGATTCAAACCAACCTGTCATAAATTTATTATTTATTGAGCACAGGCTGCAGAGCCATCAACTTAAAAAGGTAATAATTATTAAGAACTCAAAACGTAATATACTTCACTTCACTTTTTATTTTTATGGCTCCATCAATATGAGAACTGATGATTTTGCCAATGTCACAGTTGAAAGAAAAAAAAACGAAATATACTTAAAACTAAAAATTAATTCCAGTATAAAAACTAATAAATTACAAAAATAACGTCATTATTACTTCTATCCTTGTCCATAATTATATAACACGCACTTTTCTTTCAGAAAAAA